CCGTTCGCGTTGCCTTCATTGCAGTAATGTGTGAATATATAATACAATATGTGCGAGATGTGTTGCAGACACTATACACGCGCGTACACCGCTGCAGCACACGGGGAATTATGTGCCGCACTCGGGGGGCAAACACACTCGATTAGGACGATTCGAAACGGCTCGTAACAATAAAACAAAAATGTAATACGACTAATAAACGTCAAGTCGACTGACAGATTAGCGCCGCGCCGTAGCCGCCTTGCCACCTCGTCGTATATAATATATATGTAATGTAATAACGCGAGCACAATATTATACTCGCCCGACCAATGTGTGTGTGTGTATTATACATATATTATATATTATTAATATAATATAATGTATTATTATAACATATAACACAGGAGGTTTATGTTTGCATAGGATATTTTAAAGATTCGTCAGCTCTTTGGTTTGGTGTACATAGGACCTGTATTTAAACATAGCAGAAGTGCTCGTACGTACATGGAAATCACTACGGTTCACGAGTAAGACAAATACGCACTTTCGAGGACGACCAATCCGTGAGACGTATCTCTAAATTCCAGGCTATTTACTCGAAGATATTTAAATACGTTTATATATATATATATATTATATTGTGTAGTATTTAAATATTTAATATTTGTATTCATAATTCGATGTATGGAGATTAATTAAAAAAATTAAAAACAATAGTTTAGTTGTTTTAAAGAAAGTGGAAATGTTTTGCGTTAGAATCATTTTATGAGCAACAATATTACTTAAAAAATAAGGTTATTAAATGATAAAAGTATTTTTATTTAAATATGAGTAATTAATTCAGTAAATTTTGAATTTGAGATCAAGTTTTGTGGTTCAAATCGACTTAATACAGTTTGGTCAATTCTAATCGCGTGCTAAAAATTGGTAATTCTCTTTGAAAAAATACATATTATTGTATTACATATGCACTATGCACGCGCTGAAGTGTTAAAAATTTGAAAAATTCGTATGATGTGTATACCACCTAGGTTCTTCCAAAAACTCATTCAAATATAATGTCATACATTAGGATTATTTAACTATACCTTAAATCGTGATCACAATGTATATTATAATATTATGATATGTAAAAACCGCGCGTGATATTACGATATAACACGCCAGTGGTTCGTGCCGCGATTGTATGAATAATATAATATTTCTAAACAGGTACTTGCTGCAACGTGTACTTACTACCTAGTACCTATAAGTTATGGGGATGAAAATCAATATAATATATATTAAATATTACTACTTTAAAGGGCTGTAAATTTTAATTTATTATGAGGATACCTATATATACTCATATTGTATTAAATTAAGAAGAAGAAATGCGACATGTCACAGCAATCGCAGCTCATGAACCAAATATTTAAAGGAATTTTAAACTTTCGTAAACTAAAGAGCGTATAATATATTATTATAATAGATACCCCCAATTTTCTGAACCACGATGAGTTAGTCAGACGGTTTAAGATGAATTTATTATACCGTAAACGGCGTAAACTGATGTATATATATATATATGGGTGTTTATGATACGAGCGTAAAGTCGTCAATCTGACTACTGGTCGAAAAGTTGAAAGAGAGTGTATAAAGGTGGAAAAGAGGAGAAAAACAAATCGAAATTCCTTACGTCGTGCACACGCGAGTATAAAATATTATACACTCTCTTCGCAATAAGAAAATACAATATTATATTATTATTATTATTATACTGCGAGCTATATTATATTATAATATACTTGCATAACAATAATATATACGGTAAAAATAAACACAAAAATACACATATATATATATATAATATAAAGTATTATTATATTATGTGTATAGTCGACGAGCACAACACATTATAAATGCGGCGTCGCGGGTCAGAACGTGATAATAGCTGCTGTTGTCGGGCCGGGTGAGAAGGGCTAGCCGCTAGCCGTTATTTGAATTTCACGAACAGCGAAAAAAAACCGTCTCCACCACGAGTCGAGAGGTGTCGTCGTCGTGTCCTCGTTTATATACGACGTTTATGTATATAAATATATATACCTAATACCTATAATATACATTATTTAAATGAGAGAATAGAATAAGTGTATATACATAGTAGGCGAATCTCCCCTCCCTGCCGTGGCCTATCTCTATCCTGCATATTATATTCTTTGCAGCCGTCGTGCGCTGACCGCCGTTTATAGTCTCTACGAAGTATATACCTAGATCTTGTATTTATTTTATGTATATTGTCGAAGTTATTTCTATTTTTTTCTTTCCGTTTCTTTACGTTTTATTTTTCCTCACACACGCGCATATATTCGTTACAACAATAACAACAATAATAATACAACGTAAGTCGTTCGTCGCTATTGCTACGAGCTAAGGTGACAATGGTTGCACGATTCGACCCGAAGCCGTCGACGACGACACATTTGCGGCAGTGGCGGCGGTAGTCTCGACGACGGTAATCGGGCGCGCAAAAGCGGTATGTATAATGATATTGTAATAATGTGCTGCTTACAGAGGCGATTTTTCCTACTCGTCCGGACAATATTATTATTATTGTAACGGGTAAACGATAGAGATAAATAAAAATATTACAATATCATGCTGTTGCCGTTTGGGCGACACTAAACGCTGGAACGTTGTGGTTTTGCCTATGCCGAGCGCCTCGCAAATATCCTATTCTCTCTGTCTTGCCGTGTCGAACCCGAAAGTAACGAATATATTCTTAAATCGTGTTTTGCACACACACATTATCGTCGTCTTTGTCACTGGTGTCGTATAATATCGGAGAATGTGCTGCGTATAAAATGTATTTATGTATATAATACGAAAAATTCCAATACGCACGTTTCAGTTATTTATTATTATATTATACTTATACGTATATTAGAAGAATATAAAAACACATCCAAACTTCTGACCATTTGTAGAGAAAATCAAAATAAACACCAGCTTATACACTATACATTGCTGTTATCATATATAAAATACCAACTATGTGAATGATGATGATATTATATCATTTATTTATTTATAAATAAATTTAACGAATAAAAGTAATTTGACCATAATGTTATTTAAATAAGTTACTAAGACAGATAAATATGACGTTGCAATACTTAGGTTAACAATGAGAAGTACTAAGTAACAATACTACTTAAGCTCAAATTATCATTTTTAGTAGATGGATTTTAATAATATACTGTAGAATAGAAGATATGGTATTATGGTTTTATTTTATTTTAAATAAAACATTTTGCTAGGGAAAAAATACTTTGAAATATTAGGTTAAGATTAGGTGCTTTTAGGATACAAATATTTATTATAATACTGTTGTGTTGACGAGTTAGAAGGTGAGATTAATAAGAAAAATACAGTTAAACTCGTGAAGAATTATATACATATATAGATACCTATAATGTGTCTGCGGGTACAGAGATTAACAGGTATAAATAAAGTAGGAGGGACACGCGATAGAAGGTAATGGACCGCACCACCGCGTGTTTCCAACCATGACAGTAACTATACATATAATTTTAATCCTGTTTGAATATCGAATTTCTCTAATACGTATGTGAGTATATATCGGAATGGTAGGTAACTAATAAAACAATGTGAAAACTATAAGTGGCGACGCAGAATCGTACCTTCCTATAAGGACGACTGAGTAGTGAATCGTATGGTGTATTGAAGGGTTTGGATATTTCTTTAAGTTGAGCAATAGTTTTCTTCAAATCGATTTTATTTTATTCATTCGGTCACCTTTATTTAAATCACGAATTCATTTAATTTTAGTCGCTCAATGGTTTTATAACATTGTTATTAAACGAAATTATGGACAAATTAGGTATAATTGAATTAAAATTAAATATACTATAGTAATGATGTATTAGCAGCAGTAATAAAATACGATATATTAGCATTTGTTGTCCGCATAAAATATACACTATCGCTAAATTACATGTAACAACCGGTCGAATATTCCAGGAATTAATTTCTCTATTCATAAATATATATTAATATGCATATATAATATTATTAAATTACACTAATATATTAATATTGATATTATATTAAACTGCGGTGATTAGGTCGTTTATTATTTTATTTTTTTTCAAACGTTTTGGAGTGGGTGGATAAAAGGTAAGGAGAATCAGTGAATAAGCAGACCATTTACTGTAATAAGTAGATAACTCGTTAATATTTTTAATTTAGACCTGTTACAGTAATTTGCATGAGTAGGACTTAATAAATATTCCGACATGTTTGTGGGTATCTCAGTTATCATAGAACACTAACGTGTTGAAAAATGGAATAGATAAATAATAATTTCATAATATAGTACAATATAATAATAACGTTTATAGTGTAATATTAACTTTATATCATCATAACAGGGGTGAAAAAATATTTTAATTTTATAGATGTATGGACATTTTTTTTTATAAAAAGACATTAACTGTTTAAATGCCATATATAATATATATATATATATGGGGAGGGGGTAAATGAAACCTTTGCAAATGCTCTCTTTACCACCCATCTTCAACAATCGTGACACTGCGGAGTACGAGCGCGCGGACATCAACAGAGGAATGCAAAAGATGCTTCGTAATAATCAACAGCATTTACACTCGTTATCAGTTCCGTGAACGAGTGCGCGATATCCGATCGCGAGTAGGACACAAGCAGATAGCCGCGTCGCCATGGGTTGGCATGACCGTCCGGACCGCACCGGCCACGGACCGAGCCGTGGGTGCCGCGCGCAAGTTTGGAACCACTGGCTTCCAGTACTGAGCTCGCATCACCGACGGTGACGACGGCGGTAAAGGAACGACGAATCGAACGGGCGGATGTTTTTAACGCGGGCATCCGCCGTAGCGACCCGGTCAAACCGGCCGCCCCGACGCGCGTTTTCCACTTGCCCCACCAGGCCGCACGACCGGGCCGGAACCGTCCACCGCCGCACGTCATTTCCTATTCCTAACGTCAGACCCTCCCGAGTATCGGCGGCGGTCGTGTATATTCGGTATTACGATTGTATTGTCGTTGTTGTTAAAACATTTTATCGATCGACGAGGCGCCCGTCCGGCGGATACCGGTAACCCGCACGTCACCGTTTTCGTTCCGTTCGTACCGTGCGGCGACTGCCGACTTCCGTAGAGACCGCAGTCAACGGTCGAATACGAACCTATGCACACGCACGTTAAAAGCTACCGTCTTCGCATGTCGTTGTTATGATCATCATCGTCGTTAACAATTGATTCCACCGAGGTAATTGTAAACAAATGCCATTAAATATATTGTTTGATACTGCGATACAACAACCGATGTAGGGTACCTATTATTGGCCGTAAAAATCCTCCACCTATTTTATAACCACCGGTCAAACGACATACTACATAGTCATGGTATATTTCACGGAAAAACTTATAAACGAGGTACGCAAGCGGTCGTGCATATGGGATGTGGCTGACATGAACCACCTCAACAAGGAAGTGCTGACCAGCACGTGGACAGAGATCGCTGAAAACCTCTACTCGGATTGGCACGCACTCAGCGGTTTCGATAAACGTGACAGAGGTAAGCAAATAACATAAAATACCATATTATTATCATATTGTGTTCTTGTATCGTTATTATTGTAGCCTCCTAATTTGGTATATTGTTTGATTTTTCTGCACTAAAGTGTCCGACGTCAAGAAAAAATGGACAAACATCAAAGACTCGTTCGTCAAAGACGTCAAGGGCAATAAACAGAGAAAGTCTCAATGCCTTCCTGAACACCGGAAAAAGTACTATCTGTTCGATCATTTACAGTTTCTGTTACCATTCATTCAAGACTCGAATTCTGGCGGTAGGTCAGAACACGGTGGCAGCGAACCAGTGCAAAGAAAGAAAATCCGTAAAAATACTTTTGGCGAGGGCTCGTCTCGAAACTCGCAACCGGAAGTGATGATAAAGTGCTCGGTAGCACCAGAAACAGCCGGAAGACAGGAAACCTTACAACCGGACGTGCAGCAGCATGCTGACTTACTCAATAACGTCGCAGGCAAGACAGCCGCAGACACGTTGTGCCAGCTGGACGGCGACTTATCTTTCATGGTGTCGTTGTTGCCTACTATCAAATCGATGAATGAAAAACAAAAGATTAATTTCAAGATCGGCATCCTGCAGCTTGTGTCCCGGATAAAGTTCGGTGAAATACTACATCATCCCTCGGATGGCATGTACGCGTCATTCACCCCTACGACACCCGATCTCGGAGGCTTTTCAGTGTCTAGTCAACCGGCAGTGGTGATGGGCGTTCCAACGTTGCAGCCGTACGTCAATCGCTCGACCATGTCGTTGACACAGCAACATCAGCAGGATCAACACCATCTCTTGCACAAGTCGGCGGTTAAACAGGAGGTGATTGATTCGAGTCCGAGAAAATCATCTCTGGGTTATGACTACGGCACTGACGACGATAGTTGTTGATCAAAATTATGATGAAAACATTCTAAATCGTAAATTTACGCCGACAATAATTTATTATATTTTGTTTAAGACCTTTAACCCAAAACCACGATTTTTTGAGTAAGCATTAGGTATTTTCTTTATTGAGATGTTTTGCCATTTTTTGCACATTGTATTGTATACTATAATATATTATGTTTATGAGTATTGTAAATTAAAATTTATTTTTGTTTCTATACGTTTTTGCGTTTATATTATTATTACAGAGTGTATCGATCCCAAAATGAAGTGTTTAACCAATCATATTGCAAGTAGGTACTATACATAGTGCATTAAAATTCAATAAAACGAGAAAGATTAAAAATCAATTTTGAAAAATTTTCCAGTGTGTAATTACAACGTTCCACATACTAGGTCTTATAAAAATATAAATAATAATAATAATATGTTTATAACACTGCTCCACAGGAATGTTATATAATTACAATTTATAGTAAATTATATTATATTACATTATATGAATACACATATCATATACGCTCGCTATAATATAATATGTAATGGGAAGGTACTATCATCATCTGTAGGTTGTAAAACTATATATACTTTACATATTACATAATATATTACACGTTACTGCTCACTGGCATTCATAAAGCGCGCATAATAATAATAATAATAATATATTATAAATCGTAAATATTGCGAGGTTCAACAACTCCGCCGCCGCCGATACACTTGTAGCGATTAGGAATTATTCATCTCAAGATACAGATCATAGATGTGTATGATTTTAGATCGATTGTATAATATTTCTGTTCGGAAACGCCGTTTTCACGTATGTATAAATGTATGGCGAACGAATAAAATAATAATCCGGAAAAAAATACTGCTATGGCATTTACTATATTCTATTTATTAACAATATAACATATACATGTACATTGTGATTCATGTGCACAAATTGTAGAAAAAGTTTTTTTTATTTCATAAGAAAAAAATAGTAAATAAAAATTGATGTTGTTGGTATACTCGTACTATGCAACTTTATGCGTATATATTATATATTGTATAATATATAGCCATATAGGTATTATGGTTACCTGATGTTTATAATATCGTATCGATAATCGATCAACGTAAACCGCGCGCGATGTTTCAGATCTTTATCGACGCGATTATAAAACCTGTTGATATGTAACGCGCTGCGGACGTACGAGCTCATGCGCACGCGCATGACTCGGTAAAATATCGATTGAGTTGAATAATAATATTTAAATAGTATCCGCCCGTCATACACACACACGTTATTATATATATATATATATATATGTGGATATATTACATATTCGAAACGACAAAACGTTTTTTTTCTTTTTAGTTTCCGTACGCCTCTGTTCACACGATCATTGTGAGAAAACCATAATAATAATAGTAATAATATACAAAACGGATGTTTTAACTTCATCGGTACACCTCTTATACGTGACTGTCATGCCGAATATTTTGCAGAGCAATATTTTACGTCGCGAACCAATAATATATGGACAATGTTGTACATATTTGCAAATATTGTTTTCCTGGACAATATAATTACCTATTTATATTCATGTGACTCGTTTATAAATACCTATTTATTTGCTGCAGTATATAATACAATTCAAATGATTCAAAAATATACAAAAATAAATACATCTTACCCGTCTCTAGTGAAGGTATATGTATATCCATAACGTTAATTATTTAAAAAAAAATAGTATACAAGAGATCAACCACTCCTAATATTCAATCCCTATTCCTCCTATAACACTGACTACCGTTATATGGTATGCAAGGCTTTCGGTATAATAACTATTTAATGATATGTATTATAATATACATATAGGTACTCGAAACGCAAAGATTGAGGCTTTCCTGTGATAGACCCCGCGGGCCGCGGTTGAATTTTGTTCAGAAATATATACATTTCAAACTGTATACATCAATAAAGATGATATGTGTAATATATATGTATGCGTGGTGACAGCGTGCGTGTAACGTATATAATATGTATTAACAAATTGTTTACCGGCAGGTGTGCATATAGTGGCGGTGTCCTGCAATAGTTGGAAAGGATTAATAGTAAACAGAGAGCAGGATACCAAGATAGGTCCGGTCGCCGCGGGTATTTGAGAGCTGCTCTCGGCTCTTTTCGACGTACATCCAGCACCTGATGTATAAAATGTGCGACACACATGCACCGCACAACAAGCTCATAATGTAGCCCGGACAAATGAACGTCAAAAAATAAAGTATAATGAACAATGAAAGAAAACTCGAGGACCTGACAAAAAATCACAATAATAGCATGTGCGCGTGGAATAATGAAAATACGCAGAAAACACGATAGCTGTGACGACTACACGACGACGACCGCCTGTTGGGTGAACACAACACCTGATCATTGTACTTCGCCGCGGGACGTATCGAGTGCGCGCGCGCTCGCGAGGGGCCTAGCCAGCTCTAAAGTATATAAAGGTGTGCGTGGGGGGTGGGGAAGGTGCACTCGAAAAATCTGTCACCACTTACGGTGCGTGCATGTGTATACGTCGGTGTCGAAAACGACAAATCTGACACGTGGAAAGAAGAGAGCGGTGTACCATAATTGTGGGGAAGGAGATAGGGATATAAAAAAAAACAGAAGATAACCGACGGGGCGAGTAGGTCGTATACCGTTGTATAATATTATATATTTGTATGTGAGGCGTTTGGAAAAAAATTAACAAATTCCCTAGCTATATTAATATATATAATATTAGACGGCATACAGAATCACGATTATGGACCACGCGCGAACAGAAAACGTGCTTTTAACTCAAATTGCATTATGTGTTCGCCGCCGCCGCCGGTATGTCGTCGCGGTAGTACAGGAATGAGTAGTTGTAGTAGTGGAATATATGTATAGTTACAGAGAAAAAAATGAAATAATAATAATAATAAAAAATAAACGAAAAAATGTATTTATACTAAATTGCTGATAATTTAATCGGACTGCGCAACTGGCCGAGCCCGATTTCGTTTTTTTCTTTTTATTATTTTTTTTTCATTAGGTACATTATTACGTTTAAACTTGCGCGCACCGGGGCCATAAAAATAAATTGGATCACACAGGGTCCGCCCGGGCGCGAGAGAGACGGCCGTCGAGCGACGTGGATCAGATCTGTCTATATAATATAATATGCGCGAGCGGATTCTTTAATTAGTTGCGCTGTTCACGTACCTATGTATTTGTGAGTGTGTATATTAAGTGTATGAGTGTGCGCTCGCTCCTCCGGTTTTCGATGTTTTTTTTATTCACTATTAATACACATACACACACATACACATATAAATGCATCGTGTGCCATTTTCATACGAGATGCACACAACACGAGTGGTGCACGGTTATAATAATAATAATATTATAGTGGCGGTAAATTAAAATTGATGAAGAAAAAACTATACGTGCATTTCGATAAATTACATGAACACGAATTTAATCGATTTCTACGGGTTCTACTATTATTATTATAACGACGACGGGAATAATATTATAAAAATACATAGTTTAATATACGTGTATATATAAAGAAAAGTTGGACGCCGCCGTTCTCCGGCACTGTCAATTGTTGATCACGAACAAATAAAAAAAAGAAATGGGCATTTTCAAATGTCCCCCGCTTCCCACATACAAACACACACACACACATATATACTCGTATATATATATATTAATATATAGGTAATATTATAATACACAACTGCACCCGCTGTAGCATGGCATAATAATAATAATAATAAAAACAACAATAATAAAAACACACATTGCAAGCACATAATATTATTATTATATAAAAAACGACGGAGACGAAGGAACGCGCGGCGCCCCTTGGGCAAAACGAAACGAGAGAAAAGGTAAAAAAACACAACCGTGAACCGCGAACTTATACACATACTTATCTCCTAGCCGGGATTACATATTATATGCGATTGTCTGTGTGTGTGTGTGTGTGTGTGTATGCATGCACATTACACACACATACACATAAATACCCGTTGCGCGTGTACTGCGGTGCGTACCTATATAATATACAAAAAAAAAAAAAATATATAAAAACAATACGACAACGGTCGGTCTCGTTTCAACTCACACGCGGGGTGCACCCATGTCCTGCAGTAGGTCTTTGTCTCCTCGGGGCCACAAGCTCATTGAACCACGCGCCAGCGCGCTCTCTTGCAGTGCGTATACTGCACATTATAATATTACACATACACACACGCGCGCACGCGTATATTAGCAGACACACGCACAAACACAAATATATAATATTATTGTATATAAATACGCGCGACGAGTACGTTTTATCTCGCATTTCATTTGGTTACTTTACAAATGAAAACGATGTTGAAAATATTAGCATAATGGTGTAATGGATACGGCGGCGGTTGTAGTTGTATACATAAGCGCTACGTACATCCGAGTCTGGTTTGTGTTGTGACCCCGCCACATCCCCCTTCTGTGCCTGCGGATCATTCAACCACCCTCCACCCCGTCAACGGCCGCCGCGTTCTTACCCGCAAATCCTTATGCGCGCCGCCGCCGCCGCCACTACCGCCACTGCCTTCGCATACGCGACTAAGTCTTCGCAGTGGCAGCGGCGGATACACACACATACACACACTATGTATAATAATGCGTAGCGAGCATATTATTATTATTATTATTATACGTGTATACTCGGACTTTGAACGGACAAACGTACAATATAGCGTATATACATAAGTATTATACTTAGGCATATATATTATAATGTCGTGTGGGTAGATACACTGCAGCGGACACAGATGAGCTACCTATACAAAGACTGTTTATATATGTATATATACACGTTACATAATATATTATACTACGATAATAATAATAATAATAATAATAATAATTATCGTATAATGCGCGTGTGTACTGTATTGTATACATATTATATACATTATATGTACCTATTGGAGTACTACTTCGCAACCATCCCTCGTCGTACGTGCGTGCGGCTGCTGCACGTATCGTCGTATATATTTTTAAATTTTTGGTTAATAATCATATTATAATTGTGTGCCATCGCCCGCCCCCATCATATTGTGTAGCGAGCGACCGGGAGGTGT